GCAAAAAGTTAGAAAACAAATTATGCTATTTTTCGTATTATCAAGGCGTCTCCTTGTGGTAACGTATCAAGTAATAATTATTTTGAACTTTTTTTCACACTTATTTTAGTAGGCGTGTAGCTCATTATTCATTAATGTAAATCGATAGGTATATAAGAATAAAATATTAAAACCTATAAAATAATAGGTCAATTTACTCTAATATATGTATTTGAGCTAACAACACAAAATTGGATGTATATTTTGAAATACTAGCTCCTTCAAAATAAGTCGTATCGTTATGAAACCTTCAAGGATCGAAGCAGACAACCCTCGAGATCAAATTTATTGTCTCAAAAAAGCCGCGACTCGATTTTAAGTTTGAGAAATTGGCAAAAGAAAATTTCCCGCCAATTTTATTTTTGAAAAAATCAAATTTTGAACTCAACACTCACCCCCTTAATATTTGAGTTTCAATACTTTTAAAAAGTGGGAACTGGTCTAGAGACGCTTCTGCTTCGATCCTAGAAGGTTTCATACAGATATGATTTTTATTGAAGGATTTAGGTTTTGTATAGGTTTTTAAAATTCGTAATATTTCGAAAACCTAAATCATTCAATATAAGTCGTATCTGTATGAAACCTTTTAGTCGATTGTAGCCTGTATGCTTAACTTCAAAGAATTATTATAATATTGTGCACCAAATGGCAAATATAACATATTCTATTATATATAATGATTTTTAGAATGACATTAGTTAACAAGAGTTTTTCTTACTCGTGCCTATCTGAATAAGTTTTTGATACTGCTTTTTATTTATTATATTCATCATTTAAGTTACTTACATAACACTTCAATGGTTAAAGTGATGTACTTATGTTACACTTATAATATATTATTCACAAATCTTATATTAATTAGTTTGTTTTTTTTGTTTGTTATAGTCAACAAATAAGAGCTTAGTTTTGGATAAACAAGGTAAAGAATATTAAGAATATCTTGGAACTAACATTGACTTTTCAACTATGATTCAGCTCATACATCTTCTTTGGACAATCACAAGTTTTTATTTTCAGCCAATTAATTTTTATCCTTACTGTTGATTTTTGTATATTTAACTGTTATTGGTGTTTTATTTACTTATTTTTTAACAAAAACATATTATGGATAGAATTTATTGACAAAATGTTAACCATTGTAATACATTATACAGACATAAATTTTCTAAATTTCGGTGCTGGTCTAGTTGACCTCCGCCAGGAAGGCAATTCCCCCGCCACTCAAGTTTAGTTGACGCCCGCCACTTACATTTTGTATTTTCGATAACCAATAATTCATAATTTATACAATATTATACATTTATTAAAAATTATACAATTATGAACAATTCAAGCGATCAAAATAAAAATATATAAAAAATATGGTAATACTTCATAATATTATATACCGCACCTGCTCTGATACCTATCTTATATAATTCATTTTACTACACGGATTTTACCAAATATAATTCTTAAAATATCTAATTAGAGAATTTCACACAAATACCTAACGTATATGATTTCGTACCTTTTTTATCCGCACTCTGCAGTATATCAGTATATTATACATTTTATAACATCAAAAATACGAGAGATGTAGGTAAGTGGAGAGCGTCAACTAAACTTGAGTGGCGGGGGAATTGCCTTCCTGGCGGGTCAACTAGACCAGTACCTAAATTTCAAACACAATTTATTTAAAAGATATAATTTAAAATAATAGTTTTATTAATATAGTTGGAAGTAATACTTCTAGTTTTAATAATATTTTGAATAATTTGTTTTTCTAATAATATTGAAGGTGTCTATTCTATCAAATATCTAGGAATATATATTAAGTCCCAATTAAAATAGAGCATACATATAAACTATACCATACATTTAGGTCGTAAATTCTTTTATGTTTTAAAGGCCTAAGGTTTATTCTTGATAAACAACAACTTAGAATTATTTATGTTTTCTTCATTCAATCAATAATTGTATTTGGTATTGATATACCTATGAGGTGGTGCTTATGAAATCCACTTGAACAAATTAAAATCGACTAAATAAATGTATTAAATTTATTTTAAAAGTTCCTATTCTTACTTGTACTAAATTTATTATTAAAGAATTAAATATCTTAGATTTTGATAAGATTCTCACTAAATGTATTTTACTATTAAGTTTTAAGCATCAAATGTATTTACCAACTTATTAATAATAATATTTATTGGCCAAAAATTGAATATTAATTACATAGTTAAATGGCCCATCTCACCACTGAGGATAACCTCTTATCGGTGATGATGGAGTACTATTTAAAGATGAGTTTGAATTTATAAATTTTATAATATTTTCAAAATGTTTTGTATAAACTGCATCATATTTGACTATAATTCAAAACCATAAACTTGTAAGCATAACTATAATACCAAATTTAAAAAAATATATAAATACAATTGTAATTAAAGTTGCCTAAATCATAAAATTTCGCTTAGTAGAAAAATGGTGATAAATATTAATCAATTCGCTTATTTATTATAAACATATTTTACAATTTTCTATAATGAAGAAGATTAATTTAGTATGAATTTTTACGAAATACAATGTATATATAATTAATATTATTTAAGTATTAATCAAGTATTTATAGACATTTTTTATTACTTTGTAACTATATTATGAACTCAAGCATTAGCTTAAAGCAGAGGTCGGCCACTGGCGGACTACGTAAACCAAAACACTGGACCCCGTCAACATAATATTGTACTTGATTATGTTATTTACTGTAAAAGTAAATGCTATGTATAATTATTATTATATTATTTTACTATAATTATTAATAGAAAATATATATTTCATTTCGTTTATCAAACTCAGATTATAGTTGTATCATAATTCATTGCAAATATTTTTTCAGGTAGGTAATAATCTGTTCTGTTTTATTACAATAACCGAATCGCGAAAATACTAAATATTATACAGATAGCGTTAAATTATTATTATTATTTACCTAATAGGTATTGTAATATTTTAATATAAATTAATTGGAATACCAACTGGATAATTATTTTTAATTTAATACTGCTATTTTTTCAATATAAAGATTTGACAAAGATTAACACTGGACCTCATTGATTTATTATTTTGCGCCCCGGGTAACCATATTTTTAAGCCACAACCCCACCAAAAAATAGATCCACTTTTTTGATTTTTCTTAATACACTTTAATTGTCAATTCGTCATGTTTTAATTACTATTATTAAAATGTAGGTATAAGGTATAACAAAATATAGTATATTATTATACACAGTAAAAAAAATCTACAAAAAAGAATATAATAGGTATAATGATTATAATTTTTTTTCAAAATATTACCCCATCAAATTATGGTACAAATCATAGTACAAGTTCTTTCCAAAAAAATATTTATTGTTACAATATTACACTGGACTACAGAGCCACAGCGGTGACCGGCTGCCCCCCTAAATATTTGGCCGCAAATGTCCCCGTTGCCCCCCTCATAAATATGGGCTAGTACATAGCATTCCATGTGACATCTCCACCACACAACTTAATTTTTTCCATGATACACACTTACAGTCACAAATTAGATATCCAATAGACAACAGTAAACATTTTTTCACAGTTAGTATTTGCTAGAACTTAATTTAAAAATGAGTTTATTGTGTATACCCTATAAAAATAAGAATAGTTTCAATGTTTGCAAAAACTTGGTATGTGATATAGTACATAACATTTAATCTCTAGTATTATTATGGTGTAGTATATCAACTAAAATTGATTTAGTTTTGCAATTATGTACCTACCAATATGTGTACTTATAACTTTTTACCCACTTAGATCTCTTAGTGATGTGTGTTTCAAGTGTTAAGTGCACTTTTTCCTTTAAAAAATAAAACAGAATTTTTAAAAATTGGCAATAAAGTGGTTTTTAGAATTATACAATAATATTTGAACCGCCCCATAATTATACGATAATTTTTGAATATAAAAATAAATATTTTCACGAAATATAATATAAATTAATTATAATAATTTGTAGGGAAGTTTGTTTTTTATGTTGGTACAAATGTTCGGGAATTTACTGGTTTTTTTTTTTTTTTTTCCTCGCCATGAAATTTCGGGAAAAGTATCTGATGCCCATGGCCATGGTTACAAGCAATTAGGGATGGCAATTTTTTTTTGAACATCGATGTTTCGATGTATCGATGTATATTTTACTAAACATCGATGGTGATAATATCGACAATTTAAAAAAACATCGAAGTCAAGAACTCGATGTATTTGGAAAAACATCGATATTTAAAAAAAAAAAAAAACATACTTTTTATAGGATAAAATTAATTATTATATATTATAATAATATTATTAATTATACACATTTAAAATTTAAATATACATAAGCAACTCTTTATTTTATTTATTGGAAAAATTAAAAAAAAAACACATAAAAAATTAAATTTAAATTATATAGAAAAGTAGGTAGGTACCTATTAATTATTATACATTTATGGCCAAAATTGATCGTCCAGATTGTTTAAAAAAATTAATTTCGATGCCGATTTCCCACATAATCGGTTTCTTGTTTTTGATATGGTGTTACTAGCACAAGAAAAAAGCCTTTCACTCGGGACAGACGTACAGACACCAGATAAATATTTTAAGGCTAAATTATATATAAATGGATACAGGGGTTTTAATTCTTCCCAAGAAATCAATGGATCAGTTTTTAATGATGATACAGGTGTAGATAAATACATGGTTAATTCAGGTCCTAAATGTTTTTGATTTCCTATATTAGTTTTATCAACATACTTTTTTAAAGATGTTTGGGCCAATTGTTTATGATGTCCCCATAAGTCTATAATAGTGAACACCGAAAAGTTCGGAGAGAATATTTAAATTACATATTAAGTGTCGTCGCTGAAAAAAATTGGAAGCCAACGAAGGAGATGATGCTGCAAATAGAAACATTCTTATACCCATGTTTCTTTGACTCTGATCATGTATGTCGGGAAATGACGATACAAATTGTGAAGACTCTGGTAGGCACTGGGACTGGGTGTGTTCAAGACATCGCACCAATTATCTGTGTAATTCAAAACCGTATAGCACCAAAATACCAATTTATGGGAGAAAGGAAGGAAGAATTCAGGATTTTTTATGTAGAGTTGCTGAGGGAAATCATCAAAAATTACGAGCAGTTGAATTTTCCATGTTTGGACGACATTAGTTTTCCAAATCGATTTGCGTCGAGGGCGTTCTTGTACCACGGGCTCTGGGCTCTCGTCCCGGCGACGGACTTCCGGTACCTCTTCCGGTGAAGGCCGTTGTACTACTGCTGTTTGCTCGCTGTCAACGATCTCCAGCAACCCTGCACGTCCGTCTGCAAGTTCGCTGCTGTTCGGAAGTGACCCGTCGAAGTACCTTCTCAAAGCACAAACCAAAATACGCGAGGGCACTCTTTTCGACAGCAAGGCGTCCTCTATCCTTGCCCATAAATCCGTATTCAAGACATTTGCCAGGTCTAAGGAGACCGCGGTGGACAGCCGAAACGAACACGGACGCCGTGTCCACAAAAATTGATCCTCCAATCCACGGACCAATGGCAGCGGGGACACGACCCTGCACTGAGGGGGTGCAGCTGACGGCGGCGTGTCCGTCCTGACTTGGGGGGCGTCAAGGGGCGTGGTTATTGCCCGGTTCAGGATTGAAATGTACATCCTGAACCGTGGTCCCGCGCAGTTTTCCAAGACGATAGCAACATGTCCCGGGTCGGCAAGTCGCCGCGGTGAGTCAGCCATCGTCGCCGGCTCCTGCGTCCCAAATTCAGACCGCAAAACCCGTCCGAAATCCGGTGCATCGCCCGCAGACTGCAATCCATGTCTGAAATCAGTGGTTTCCACTAACGAATCCGTAGAAACTTGCAGTGTTGACTCCTGCAGGCCGACGAATTCATCGCATAACTCAGACGATTTTCCACAACTATCGGTCTTCGACATTTTCTTGGATGAATATTGAATATAAAAATATATTATCACAGCAATATAATACGGGAAATTGACTTTTCAAAAATATTATACACAGTTATATAAGCGTAGATACTTCGAAATAATTAACCTGGACAAATAATTGTTTAATTCAATATATTGTATTTATATATAGTTATCCATAGCAACGTTATTTTGAAATAATATACATATTATAGCAGCTATAATATTATAATTTATTAATTATCGTTAAAATTTCATGTTAAATTCAAATTTAAAAATAAAAATTATGCCGAAAAATTAAGCAAGTAATAAGATTAAGTTTAAGTGTGCTAAATTCCCGGCTTCTAAATGCGTATTTTATTACAACCCAATAAGCTACCTATATAATTCCATATTATTATATTGTGTACGATTTAAATTGTGTTTAAATAAATGTTTTATTTTTTGGTTCCTATTTTTTTGACATTGTCTAGAATGAATATAATATTATAACCGTTGTAAGTTGTAAGTAATCTATAATTTATTATATATATTTTATATAGGTATACACAAACAATCGTAATTGTGGACAAAAAATATACTTCGTAATACAGCAACAACCGGTAACTATTTGCTGGTAACTAACGGACAGCCACACGGTCCCTCGTTTTTATATATTATGACATTAAGGGAAAACAAAATAAAAATGTGCTCTGCCGTACAGCAGGTCACAAGTGGGTCACTGTATAACGGATGGAATTAAATTTGAATTCAATGATATAATATGATTGTATGAGAAAAACGATTCTGAGCGGAGACGGTCTGTCAGTCTAGGTAGAAGACATATATTCTTATCTATGGTAGGTATTAGAAAAAAAATTGATCTATAATAAATTCCAAATTAATTATATCACAATATTCATTATTTACTTATAACGCGTTATACATCAACAAAAAACCGTGATACTTGAGCTCACCAGGACGTTTACACCAATAAATAAATAAATAAATAAATAAATAATATCCCTGATATATAATAATACACTTTAGAAGTTTCAAGTGCCCACGAATAATATTATACAATCACAACAAAATAACTAAAATAGTTATTCTAGGTTTTTTAATATGTAATTTAGTAAAAATGTCAACTTAAAATGACTATAAAAATAAACTGTGCTTCTGTATTTTTTAGATTTTTTCTCAACAGAATTAATTACTTTCATGGAATCTTGTTTTAAATTTTCATTTAATACATTTTTAACTACAAAATAATTATTCAATTTTAAATTTGATAAATTTTGTCAAAATTCGATCTTTAAATGCTTATAAAACGAAATTGTGACTAGTTATTTTTAATATTTTTCAAACGTCATTTTAACAACATAATTGGAGTTTTGTATTACATTTTCAAGCTTTTTTACCTAACAAATAAAGTTTATTGAGATTCATAGAAAAAAAAACTTAAAAAAGTTCGAATCTGAGTATATCCGTAAACAGCTCAAAACGAGTCAAAATTTTTTGAAAATTTTTTCATGTATAGAAAAGGCTAAGATAAACGTCCATTGAAAATTTAATGTCTTTAAGATGATTCGTTTTAGAGTTACACCAAAAGCCAAAATCGATTTTGTCAAAAGCCGATTTTGCGTAAAAATTACCTTAATTTCCCTTAATTTTTATGTTGTTTTTCCCTGCGCTTTTGAAAACAATTGGGAATTTTAAAATTTGACCTCCCGAATCCACCAACTAGATTCACTTTCCCGTCAAACAAGATACTGTCGAAGAAAATCGAAGCAGTTTTACTGCCCTAAGCCGTGATGACAGACAGAAAAATAAAATAAAAACACACATCATTGTAAAATCAATACATGATATATTCATCGTTCCACTCAGAATCTAAAAAATAAATTTTGTTCAGTCTCGGATTTGAGGGGGGGGCGATAATCCCCCCTCTAGAGCTTTTTTTTTTTACTTGAATTATAGCGCCGTACGATATAATTAATATAAAATTCATAAGTCATAACTATAACTTCAAAATTAATAAATGATACAAAAAAGGTATTTTTTTTCGAATATCTCATCAATTATATTGTTATTTGATTATCAATACAAATCATCGAATTTAAATAACACGATCATGTTCAAAACAAATTTGAAATTGGTTATAACACTTATAACCATAGATAATAAAAGAACATTTTCTTGGTTAGAACCAAAATTGCTGTAGACAACTATTGCTACGGTTTAAGTTTTATGTTATTGATAGAATGACAGATAAAATCGCCAAGCAGTGTTGCAGCGTGCTACACGTCAATAACAACAATAGTAATACCTATAGGCTATAATAATTTAAAATAAATTATAATATAGAAAAACATGTAAATGATTTCGGAATAACTCCCTGCTTTTATAAATTATCTTTCCTATACTAAGCATATATATTACTATAAAATATTAAAATAAGGCATTTCGAGTGTTAGGATTAATTTAATATCATACAGAAATGCTAGCGAGTTCAATGATTCGGAATAATGATTTGTAGCCTGAAATCTGTTGGGAAACGAAAAAAATTCTCGGGCAAAAAAAATTCTCAAGAAAAAATAGTCTCGGGGCAAAAAAATTTCATAAAACTGTTAAAATAATTTATAAAAGTTACAGCGATAACAATTTATACAACTAGCATTTTTATAATTATGTAATATTTTTTTTTTCTATTCTGACGTCTTACTCAATCGTATAGATATTTATATTTTTTTAATAATATTATTGACTAAGATTCAATGAGATCTGTTTTTATAATTTTATAATTATTAAGAGCTATTATTTTTGTTTAAAACGTAACGTTACAAATGTCTGTTTTGTATTTATTAAAATAATTTTTAAAAATTACAAGGATAACAATTTATAGAACTTAGATTTTTATAATATTATGTTCACTGTAAAACACCTGCTTACCGAGTGCAGAGCCAACGAGGAAGAAAGAAAAAAGCATAACATACCATCGAACCTGTACGAGATTATCGGTCCCGACTGCCTACCAGAAAACATCATAATATCATTCCTTAAGGCATCAAAATTAGAAAATAACATATGATAATAATTAGAAATAATCCACTAATATTGTAAAAAAATTTTTTTTTTCTCTTCAAAAGTTTATAATATGTATTTGTTTATATCTCAAAAGCTAATGACCTATGCTGTCGAAGCTTAAATGCTCAATAAAAAAAAAAAAAAAAAAAAAATATTATGTTATGTAATGTGATTTTCTGTTTTGTATTTAGTAGTTACCTATTATATTATTACATAATTATTAGATATTATTATCTTTAGAAAACAGACTTTTTACCCCCGAGACTTTTTTCCGGATACTTTTTTCCCGGGACTTTTTTTCCTATACCATCAAATCTGTTATCACTTCATTTTTATAAAATAAATTAAATATTTTGTTCACTGTGACCGTGGTAAATAAGTCTATTTTAATATTGAGTGTTGAATATTTTATTTTCATTGTTCATTGACAGATTGGCGACTGGTAAAAAAAGAACCATACAATCGTAGCTCAAATAAATTATTAATACATTTGTGTATTTAATATTGAATAAAAGACTGTTGAATTTTTAAACGACTTAATTTTTTTTTATATATAACAGATTTTTCATTGACTTAATATGTATGTATTGAAATTCTGTGATACCAATTCACCCCCTCCTTAAATGAGCTTCAGATCCACTACTGATTTTGTTTCTACATATTATATTCTAAGTAGTACTGGATGGTATTTTTCCCCAACAAGGAAAATTCAATAGTTATATTAGGTCAGGTTAGGTTGAATAGTTATGTATTATATGTTTTTGGGTATATAGTTCAATGGTAAAATATCTAGTAGCATGATACATTATTAATTAGGAATTTAATCAATTATTATTAATTATTATTGATCGAATTTTGGTATAATATATTTTATCGTTTTTTTAGATTCTGAGCGGAGAGAGGAAGCTATAGTGGTTTTAAAATGATGTTTAATTTTTTTTTTTTTTTATATATATATCCTGTATACAAAATTTCTACAAGAAGGGGTGCTTCGATGTCAACATATAGTACCTTATCTTTTAGAAAATTGGATCAGGATGGTACTTTAGAGAGGTCATTTTTCGATATTCTCAATAGTTATTTAATGCCACGGGAAAAACTACTGACAGATTACAAAAAACCGCTTAAAATGGGATTTTAATTTATAACGATTTGCTTTTCACCGTAGCCACGAATAAAAAATTATAATATTGTAATAGGTGCTATTAATTCAACTCAAAGGCTATGATAAATAATAAATATTTAAAAAATCCAGACTGATAAATCGTCTCCGCTCAGAATCGTTTTTCTTATGCAACGATATTGTATCATTGAATTCCAGTTTAATACAATCCATTATAAATTGAACCACCTGTAACCTACTGTACAACAGAGCGACATCCCCTTGCCCACTTTTTTTTTTTTTATTGATTTGCTTTTTTACGGTGATAAACAAAGCGTTACTCGAGAAAATCAGAATATAATAATAATGGTTATAAGAATTACCTTTTATAGTTCAATTCAAATATAGTATAATATAATAAAAAATAATAAAAAAAATGCACATTATGTTCTACATTTTACGCACTCACACACATTATACTGAACACTGATATTCTTATCACGGTGCCGAACTGTCCCCATTTCACTAATAGTGAGGTTTATTATACAGTTCAGTTTATGAACTATATCGATTTTAGCGATTTTAGTAGATATAATATCGATAATTATTATACAGGGTGATTTTTTTATCGAAGAACACTCATTATTTCAAAAAGTATTAATGTTTAAGAAAATATTTTTTTACATAGTTTCAAGTTGTTAAAAAACAATATTTTTATTAAAAAATTATATTTTTAAATATTTTTTATCCTTTTAATTTTTTAAGTTTTTTACTTTTTTGAATGACAACATCTAATTTTAATTTGATATTCAAAAACAGAATATTTTTCTGAGTATTTCGA